TATATAATTGTAACGCCCGTAGATCCGGGCTAGTCAATTTAGAGACGATAGGCATCAAAAATGGATTTTTGATGAAAGATTATTTAGAATTAATAATCTTAACTAAGTTATAGTATATGTTACAAGGTTTCCGTGCATATAAAGAACGCCGAAATCCGAGTTATAACGAAGAAGTTATGACCTGTCGAAGTTTCGCGACAGTATCGGAACGACGCTGAATGATGTAAAAAAAGTGAATTTATGTTAGAGTGATATTTAGCCTTATCAATCTAAACGAAAGTCGTAGAGTTCGTTAAACCGTGAGCGTGCATAAAAAGAACGTCCAAATCTGACTTCGTATGAGGAAGTTATGATTTTTCTAAGTTTCAGCTTAGTAGTATGCAGCCCGAATACTCGATTTGAGATCGAGCGGTTTTTAGCTGAAACAATCTAAACGAGAATCGAAGATCTCATTGTTAGTAGTGAAACGATGAAAAGTTAGGCGATAACAGATGTCGGACGAAGAAGTTATGAATTTATAACGAAGTTTTCCTGTCCCAACCTTCTAAAAATAAATAATAAAAATAAAAGTCAAAATTAGCCAACGGAGTCTAAATGAAAGTTGTAGAGTATGGTCTGACCTACGCGTGAATATAAATAACGTCGAAAACGGAGCTCGTATGCAAAATTTACGCAATTTAGAAGTTCGACGAGTCAAATTACGCCCAGCGTAATTTGAGTACGCCCAGCGTACTCAGAGGGGTGCAACCTGTCTGACCAATACTCAAGTGCCACCAATTGACGCATGCAGTGACGTCAAAGTACGCCCAACGTAATCCCAGACCCAACAGCCTATAAATAGAACTCGAGATCAGCCATTTTCCTTGCGATTTTTCCTCCCTTCTCTCTAAGTTTTGCATCGTTTTACGTGCCAATAATATCCCGAAGCCCCGATATCATTCCCGAGCCCCGAAGTAAGTCCCGAGGCCCCGAAGATCTCGAGAAGTGCGATTCCCGAGCCGAAGCTCTGCCCGCGAGGAGCCCGGTTTTTGTGAAGATCTTCCAGATCTACGGAGAAACACTACTTCTGCAAACCGTAGTGCTGCCCGATCATCTTCTAATCAAGTGAGTGTATACTACCTTTCATAAACACAATAATAATACAAGTATGGTTTGAGTGTATTAAGTATATTGTTGTTTATATGTGTGAGTGTGTAGTTACTTTCTTCTAACGCATAATTATGAAGTATTTTATACGAAATATGTGTTATGTGTATATATATTGTTGTTTATATGTATGAGTGTGTGGTTACTCTCTTCTAAACACATAAATATAAAGTATTAGCTATGAAATACGTGCTATGCGATATATATTAATTGTCTATATGAGATGGGCTTGGCATTGATGTTTTTATATGGGTGTTAAATGATTTAAACTATATATGTAATTTATATCTACAAATATGTTGGGTAGAACATGGGTAGATGAAATAGTTGATGTGTGTTGAACAAATGTGATAAGAGACAGGTGATGATAATTAGGTGATGAGAAATAGGTGATGATAGAAAGGTGATGATAGTTAGGTAATGATAAATAGGTGATGTGAGATGAGAGGAGATACCATAACCTTGACCGGCGATGTGGAAATTTGGCGATGTAGTCATCTACCAGAGTATAGATGGCGACCACGGACTATTCTAGATGACCCCGTAGAAACACCAGCAGGCTCATAACCTGTAGGTGATGAATTACGAGTCCAGGCGATGTTGTGGCTACGTATTCATGCGATGATACTCTAACCCTTACTATGAATTACGAGTCCAGACAATGTTGTGGCTATGTATTCATGCGATGATAGTCTAACCCTTATTATGACTTACTAGTCCAGACGATGTTGTGACTACGTATTCATGCGATGATCCTTAGGAAAAAGTCCTTAGGAACAATCATACAAGGAAATGTGATGTAAGGAGATGGGAGGTAAATATGATGTAGGAGATGACCCTTAGGATAATTCCTTAGGGAAGGTACTTAAGAAATAAATGGAGATAACGGGGATTGGTTATTGGGTTGATTGTTTGATGATTGAATATAATAATTATATTATTGTGGGTTGAAAACCCTATATGCTCACCAGACTCCCAAGCCTGACCCACTCAGTTTAATTGTATCACAGGTATTGATACGAAGCTGCTTTGCACTGAGAGATTAAAGAAGATGTAAATCATTAGTGTAATTGAATGTAAGTTCTGTTTATGCTTATATGTCTGTATCGGAACATGACATCCCGGGGTTTTATTATTAAATGAAAATACATTCTCTTTGAGAAATGTTTTGATAAGTTATTATCATATCTTGTTTTGGGAACAAATTCCGCAACCGTTTTCTTTAAAAGATTACTCTAATTTTATAAAACAAAGCATAAACAAATCGGTCTTTTTTGGCCGTGAAAATGGGGATGTCACAATAATATATAATAATATAACCAAATATTATTTAACTTCATTTTTAGAACCATGATAACACTTATAAATTTTTTAAACTAGATTTGAATCTATAAATTCTTTGGCCGAAGGACACCATGTCAATATCATATATTTTTTTTATATATGATTTAGCTTGGTGAGGATCTAACACCATATCTTAAAAATCAAATTAATTAACCCATAATCGGCCAATTAAAATAACTGATTAGCTATTAGGCCATCGGGTATGGCGTAGCTTTTGACACGTAAATGATGAGGTGGAAGGTCTGTTCACACATGAACACCGTCCCTAGCCCGTAAATGTGATGTGGATTGGTACCGGCTACGCTCAGTTACGACCAATAGAATAGCAATCTCACAAACGGTCAAAAACTGTCCCGTTAACCAATTTTATAAAAATTTACTTTCTAACTTTAAATTAAACCCCAACACTTTTGTATCATTTCACACCTCAAAACCACTCAAATCTCTTTTTATTTTCTCATCTTTTTCTCAAAGTATGGATCAAAATCATAATACCCGAACGAGTCTAAACACCCCAACAACCCCAAACACTATCAACATCTTAATTACATGAAAGTGTTAACATCCCTAATCCAACAATAACCACTATTTACCAACATTCCATGTGAATCAAACTACTTCCAACAACAAAGACCACAACAATTCAATCAATCTTAATTCCAAGTTTTTCAACAATTTCAACATCAACAATTCTAAACACAACCATCTCAACAATTCCAAACACAACAATTACAAGTCTCATTATCTAAATCCTAAACTATAAACCTCAACAATAACGAAGAAGAACGAGTCCAAGAAACACAACCATCTAGAAGAATGCTACCAAAAGAAAAAGCTACAAAAAATGAGGAACGGATTAGACCACTTTCACTCGCTTTTGGGAAGACAAACAAATCGAACATACGACACAGTCAATGAAAAATGGCGCGGATTACAAACGGCTTGCACAAAGTTTAATGACATATTTGAAATTATGAAAAATATGTACAAAAGTGGTAACAACTATCTCAATATTTTATTAACCGCTTGCCAACAATACAAAGTTACCAACGGTGGTAAAATATCTGACAAACAAAAAGCATGAGAAATTTATCGTGCGGGTCTAAAATGGATCCTTAAATCAGAGACTTCACATTTGGAATCGACCACCGACTCTAACAAAAAGTCAACAACTTTTGAGTTAGATGTGGGTTTTGGTGTCGACCTCAATGAAGAGTTCCACGACACCGAGGGGGAGGGTCCACCGGAAGTGCAACTTCGTCAACCACCGGGAATAAACAAAGGAAAAGTATGATGGCTGCAAGCGGAAAATCGAGTAGTGAAGATGTACTTGCGGAAAAAATTGACAACACTCTAAGTTTTTTTACAAAAAAATATGAAGCAACGGAGGCAGCTCATATTTCGGAAACTGACACTTACCGATTTTCAAATTTTAAATGCAAAGCCACAACTAGATATCAACTAGGAAAATCTAGCTGCATTTCTAAAAATCCAACAACAAGTTCGTGATAAGTATTTAAATTAGGTTTTATCGTTTTTAATTTTTATGTTTAATTTTCTATGTTTTTTAAGTCATTTTGGTTTAAATTTGTATGGTTTTATGTTTTTTTTTAGTAATTTAGGTTTGAAAATTTATGTTTTTATGTTTTTTTAGTAATTTACATTATGTAAGGTGTTTTTAAATAATATGAAATATTTATTTATGTTTACTAATTATATTTTTTTTATTTAATCTAAATATAAAAAAAAAAAAGATAAACAATATAGAGTGGTAATTATTTCCAAAAAGCTAGTGAAAATATGATGTAAGATATATAAGACATCACTTTTCTAATTTTTCTAATTAACATGTAATGATCATACCCTATGGTCTTAAATATTTAAAATGTTTTTTCTAACGTTTCTAATTAAACGTTGGACATGTTTTTTGAGAATTTGAGGTGGTGACTATTAAAAACGAAGTATTTTTGTGGAAACTAAAAAGGATATTATACTTTTCTTATGCTCTTATGTTTATTAAAAACGAGCTACACGTTAAAGTGGCAAATTATTCTCTTTTATATTTATACGTTTTAAAAGTATGAATACCGACCATCAAAACTTTTTACTACTTATTATTAGATTACCCTTTTCTCGTTCAAATAATAAATCTAAATAGTCGAGTTAATTCTCATCATAGTTCTATCAAATTAGCAAACTAGTAAGTAGTAACACAACACTTTTATGTTTTAACTACGTAAGCTTATTTTACAACTTTTGAAGATGAATAAGAAGACCACATGCATGTATGTGTATAATTTGAAAATTCAGATTCAAAGCATGTAACTAATTTGAGTGCAATGACAAAATAACCATTAATTTTTTTTTTTTAATTATCAAGTCAAATGTAATTATAAGATCTAATTATACAAGCAAAGTACATTAACTTTAATATGTTTTTTCCCACACTTCTCGTATATGAGCAAAATGAAATCCAATCATGCAAATTTTAAATTTTGTGTTGAGAATTAGTTTTTTTGTTTAGTTATAATTTTACAGTTTATGATTTTATATATTTTTTAAAAAATAAAAAATAAATATTATCAAATTGGGTTAAAAATTGGATATTTTGTACAAAAGAAAGAAAGTAGTAGAACACGGAGCAAACCTCGCTTGTCCCTCACGAATGCGCCATTACATTGCGTCAACTCCAGCCACCATCCTCCGCCGTCTCCTCCCGCCGTGCACGTGCACTCCACCGCATCAACACTCTTCGAATCTTCATCTTTCTCTCTCTCTATCTCACTGTCTTCCTTCCAATCTCACACAAACACACATTACATTCTCTGATACACATACATCTCTGTGTTTTTTCACGCAAACACTCTCTCACTTTCTACATCTGTAACGGTATATCTATATCTCGGGCACACAAAGGGGCGAAGGGGAAGCCACTTGATTCGGATTCCCTACCCCTATAATGTGATTTGTAGCCGCGAGATGCACGCTAAAAATCGGCTCCCCAGCAGTGGACACAATACCCCGTCGCCACCGGCCTCCCCCCTTCGCTCCCCTCGTCTCCGACATCCCCGCTCCGGAAAAACCGCCGCTCGATTTGTTGTTGGTGTTAATCGTTCAATCACACAACGTATTGCGTGGATCGTACTAACCTTTCTATTACGTCGCCAGGGGGTTTTCCTTTTCGCCCCTCTTCTCTACATCTCTGGTATGCTGTTTTACATGGGGACTGTCTCTTTTGACGTCGTTCCCGATGTAATCAAGTCTCGGAGGGCTCCAGGGTCAGTGTACAGGAGTCCAGAACTCTATGCTAAGCTTCGACACGAGATGGATGCCGACAATTCGTCATCCGATGCGGTTAGTAGTTTCCAAAGTTTGCCCTAATGTGACGTTGATCCTTTTTTTTTTGTTAAGATCTTGTCCCTGTTTTTGAATTATTGCAATCTACCATGAACAATTATTTACTTGATTGGATATGGTTAGCTTCTAGCTTATAGCACCGATTACAATCCCACTGCACCTGAACCGCATTGATGCCACGCTGTGAAGAATTACAAGCTATGGAGGCATAAGTAGCTTATATTTCAAACTATACTATACACATACGGATTGAATTTGGGAAACAAGACAGATATGATGTATTTCATTTGCTTTTTCTAGATCTGTACCAATAATAATTTCATCACCTCATCACCTGCACTGGCTTTAATCCACCATTGCTAAGTTGAACCTCTGTCTCCTTGAGGAAGACCAACTGAGAAGAATGTGATAGACTAGGGTTTCAATTGGGGAGGATTTGCATATCCTACCAAATTAAATTAGGGTTTGGATTAAAAAATGAAAAATTTTCTTCTGCTCTCGTTTTCTGATTCATAACACTCAACTTAATGTAGATGTCAACCATATGGAAACATGCTAAAGGTGGTGACTGGAGGCCTTGTATAAACAAGTTTTCAGGAGGTATGAACACTGAACTTTCTTTCAAACATGAAAAGCTTGTTTGATGCTTCCTTGACTCTAACATATGCCATTGCTCATCCAATTTTGACTTTTTTTAAACTGATTTATATCTTATGTTAATGGGGCTTGAAATTAAGAGACTTTTACACAGAACTACAACCGACTCTTACTCTTCAACTGATTAAAATCTTTTCATCTTGTTTGTAACAATGCATCTCGAAAGATTTTGTTTTGAAAGTTTCTTTGTTCTTTTAGGTTTGCCAGAGTCAAATGGATACATATATGTTGAAGCAAATGGTGGCTTGAATCAACAAAGAACATCGGTAATTTACATTAAATGTTTTCATATCAATTTCATTATCATCTACAATTACCTAACATTTACATGTCTCTCTCTAGATTTGCAATGCAGTTGCTGTGGCAGGCTATCTTAACGCGACACTTGTCATTCCAAATTTTCATTTCCATAGCATTTGGAGAGATCCCAGGTTTGTAAACATAAACATGATCTTTTACTAATTAATATATCTGCTTAATGTTATATGTACATATACTTTAAAGTATTTATGTGTTTTTTTGGTTGTATTTCAGTAAGTTTAGTGACATATATGATGAAGAATTTTTCGTTAAAACATTGGAAAATGACGTACGGATAGTTGACACTGTACCTGGATACCTAATGGAAAGGTTTGACCGGAATTTGACCAATGTTTTCAACTTCAGAATAAAAGCATGGGCACCTGTTCAGTACTACAGGGATACAGTTCTTCCAAGGCTTCTAGAAGAAAAGTAAGCCTATTTTGTTTTAACTACTTTGTTTTTTTTTAATCATCTGATCATATTTTAATGTGGTAAATTGTCAGGTTCATAAGGATTTCCCCATTTGCAAACCGATTATCATTTGATGCACCTCCTGAAGTTCAACGCCTTCGATGTTTAGCAAATTATGAAGCTTTAAGATTTTCAAGCCCTTTATTGACAATGGGTCAAACTTTAGTTTCAAGAATGAAAGAACGGAGTAAAATCAATGGTGGAAAATACATTTCTGTCCATCTACGCTTTGAGGAGGTCTGTACTCTTTATCTCTAAAAATGACCATTTTGCCCTTTTTGTTCTTGTGGTACGTGATTTTCACCACCATCTTGCAGTTTTGGTTCTTATTGCAAGTTTTTGTATTGATTTTGGTCCTTTAGTCATTAGCTTTCACAACCCTTTTGTTAAATTTGTAAAAATGACCATTTTCTCCTTTTTGCGATATATGATTTCTACTGGGTGTAGTCCAAAAATGAATCGTTTTGCCATTTTTGTCTTTATTGGAAGGTTTCATATCAATTATGGTCCCTGTGTCTAACTTTTAACAGCCTTTTTGTTAAATCTGTAAAATTACCAAAGTTGCAAAAGGTTTTGTTTTTGGACTTAACCTGGTAAAATGAACATACCACAGGGACCATTTTTGTAAGTTGTGTATCATTGAAGTGAGATGTGACAAAAATAATTGTATAGGACATGGTTGCTTTTTCTTGCTGTGTATATGATGGTGGATCAAAAGAGAGTGAAGATATGGTAGCTGCAAGAGAGAGGGGGTGGAAAGGTAAATTCACAAAACCTGGTAGAGTTATTCGGCCTGGAGCCAATAGGGTAAATGGAAAATGTCCCCTCACACCTCTAGAGGTAATTAAAATAAATATCATTATTCCTTCTTCACGTTTATGAACCAAAGTTTCTTGAAAATTTTAATAATTTAAAAAGGGTTATTTAATTTAATTATTAGGTTGGGTTGATGCTTAGAGGAATGGGATTTGATAAAAGCACATCCATTTTTCTTGCTTCCGGAAGAATATATGATTCAGAAAGACACATGGCTCCGCTTCTAGAAATGTTTCCCCTTTTACAAACCAAGGAGATGTTAGCATCTTCCGAGGAATTAGCGCCGTTTAAGGTTTGATTGTTTGTCTTATTTCAGGTTTCTTTTTGTATGACTAAGTTTTGACTTTTGATTGGTTGGTTGTAGAACTATTCTTCTAGAATGGCTGCTATAGATTACACTGTGTGTCTACATAGCGAAGTATTTGTGACAACACAAGGTGGAAACTTCCCTCATTTTTTATTGGGACATAGAAGATATCTCTTTAATGGACATTCAAAGACAATTAGACCCGATAAACGAAAGTTAGCAGTATATTTTGACAACCCCAAGATCGGGTATGAATTTGAATTTATACATCTTTATTATACGATTTAGTTATATATAATTTGATTGTTTTGTTTATAGGTGGAGAACGTTTAAAAGGCACATGTTAAGCATGCGAGTTCATAGCGACTCGAAAGGAATTGAACTGAAAAGGCCAAACGACTCCATATATTCATTTCCGTGTCCAAATTGCATGTGTCGTGCAAATAAAACAGAAGATTCGAGAACAGTAGTAGGGTCCACTTCTTGATGATTTGATTTGATTTGATTGCGTTTTGCATTTTGTGAGCTATAGCTAACATTGGAAATTCTTTATTTTTTTTTTCCTCCAATGATTGATCAAAACATTTGGAGCCTCCGATAATGATGAAGGAAAATGAAAAGGTGGTGGGTGGTTTAGAACAGGAATTTGTACATGATTCAAGAACCAGATAGTTGGTGTATGTGTATCTAAGGAAGGAAAAGTTGGATTGCAAATATCTTTAACCTCATTGTTGTTGTTAGTTTGTGTGTGTACAATAGTGACAATATTTGTTTTTTTGTTAAATTTTCATGGGTTTCTTTCTTTGTCTTGGTAAATGTTTGAAAATGGAAATAGATACTATCCTTTAGAAAGTTATTTAAGAAATCATATTTGACAACTGCATCCTAAATTGATAAGGAAGTGTGAAATGAAAAAACATTAATTTAGTTTACTAGTACAAAAATTGACAAAATGACTTAAAAAGGTAAAGTTGCTGTACAAGGTTAGTCATTAATGATTTTTCTTTTTTAATTTATTTCATAATAACTAGTGTAGGTTTCCAAGGAAAAATCTGTTTTCAGCGATTTTTAGTATCTCTGACACCTATCATCTTCAATTAATAATATAGTATGAATTTTCTAATGAAGTCTTCTATTATTCTCTTTTGATTGCAACCACTTTTTTTTTTTTCTGCCTATCTTACCATCAAGTGGGTAATGACACCCATCAAAAGACAATTTCCTTGTTTAATAACTATGATGATTGATATATTTGACGAGTCTTCACACGCAAGACTTGCTGCGATTAGCCCGTTGGATCCACATTATTGGGAAAAACAACTTTGGTGCGACGTCTAGATCGGAGCGGATATACCTAGATAAAAAATGTTTGTGTTGAGAAAAAAATTAGTGATGACTGTAGTTGCTGGGAAAATATATGTCGTCGGTGGGTCTACTCAAAGGATATCAGTAGAGTACCAGAGGGTTGTTGGGTAATGATGGAACACACACCGATGCTAGTATAGGTGCACATGTCTATGCGAGCTCGGTGACCGGAAAAATGTTAGCGAAGATGACCGGAGGCTCGTCGGAGATGCCAAAGTCCCCTAGAAAATCAATCTTTTGGTTGGAAACCTACAAAACGAAAGTCGTGTAGAAAATCAATCTTATGGACAAACCTAACAAGTTAATGGATTTATTTTGCAAAAAAAACAATAATTAATAATAATAATAAAATAAAATAAAAATAAAAATAAAAAATATTAATGACTAACATATACAACACAAAAAAATGTTACATTTTAAATTCATTTTTCCATAAAAATTACATCTAGATAAATATAATGGCTAAAGATAGATTTTAGAGGAAATTACATTCTTGGTCCTTATGGTTTTTCAGTTTTAACGCTTTTGGTCTTTCTATTGCGATTTTAACACCACCGGTCTTTATCGGAGGTTTAGATAACAATCAAGTCCCACACTAAGCCTACCTGAAGGTTTTTATTTATTTATTTAACCTAATGAACTTAATGGTTTAAGCATTTGTTCTGAAGAGAGTGACAAACTATTAAGACACTAACCCTTTACATTTTGCCTTTCTTCTTTTCTCCTCACATTAAAACTGATGACTATTGTGAAAAAATGTTTTTTGAAATATAAAGGTAAAATGGTTATTTAGTTTATTCAGTCTAGAAAAGAAAAAAACCTGATGTATATCATTACACATTCAATCACTGTACTCATACATGACTTAATGGAGAAAAAAATAGAAACAACCCTTTAATCTTTAGTTCAACAGTTTCAAAGATCAAGTCATGGCTATAACTTGCATTTAATAGATATAGAAGATTGCAAATCAATTGCAGACAACTGGTTCATGTTTCTTGGTATAGTTGGGTATTTGTATATGAAGCCTTTTTTGGTACATTTTGTACATCTTACTTTATAAACCCACTAAGTGCACCTTTCATCCGGTTCTTCTCATGTACCTTTGGGTGTTTCTTTTTTGGGATATATTTCAGGGAATTTGATATAAATGGACAGATGATACATGCTAGTTGATTTTTTGTTATTTAATATTTTGTAATGGACCTTGGATGATGTGATGAATCCCCTATTATGGTATGTTATCTTTACATTATGGTATGCTTTTTATGTTTATATTATCGATGGTATAATTTACCATTTCAGCATTATACTTTGTATTGGTCATTTGCCTTTATCATTACAATATTATACTTTCCATCAGACCATTTTCCATTTACATTTAACAAATTTCAGCATTGTACTTTACCATTAGAGTAATCAACGATACCATTTGCATTTACATTTAACTAATTTCAGCATTGTACTTTACCATTATAGTAATAAACTATACCATATGCATAATAATTTCATAAATATTTCATAGATTGTAACATTCTGAAAATATGAATAAAATTTTTATTTTTAAACCATCAAATCCATACAACCATTTGTTCCAAAACCAATGAGAGTAAAATGTATCTTTCAAACATCAAAGTAAAACAATAATAATCAGTACGGAAAAAGCCATCAGGGGAAGCTATGCAGTCAAGCTGGTCCATTCCCTTTGGAACTAGAAGTACCTGAAAATGTTTAACCAAAAAACTATAAGCATAAAGCTTAGTGAGTTTCCAAAATACCACATACCATACATAACATCGGGCCCTGCCCAACATATAAATGAGCCTACCCTAGCATACAAACGGGCCCAACCCATCATACAATGAAAAAGTCACAAAGACAACTAGTATCCTATACAATATAATGAGAAGACTCACCTTGTCGAGGTAATCATTAACTAACAGCTCTCACAGCCAACGAATGGGTGCTATACACCTCCTAATAAACCACACAAGGTAAACCCTTAGTCTACCTTCTAAAACTAGAAATTTAACCAAAAGTCAACCCATGCCAAAAGTTAACGGTCAAGGTCAAAGTCAATAGTCAACATCACAAATAGCTGATACTCACATTGTGACCAACCTATGGTCACATCGTGGCTAACAAACTCAACCCCGATCCAAAACTCTAGATTTGAACAGCTCAGTTGTGCTCAAAACCATTGTCACGTCGTAATGATCATGCCTCACATCGTGAGAGAGTCCGTCTAAATCAAGCGGGAAATCTTATCGTCATGTCGTGATGTCCATATGGTCACGTCGTGACTACTGCAATTTGGGACAACTTAATGCATTCAATCCTTAATCCTTTAAGCCATCCATTCCAACTTTTCATTGAGCCTTGTTACTTCAAAAACATTCTAAAAATCAATTCTTTATAGACATGCATGTCCAATGCATGGCTTGATCTCTTATCAAGTCAAAATGATGAAAATGGAACCACAATCCCATGAATGTCTTCAAAACTTAGCCAGACTTCAAATCCAACATATACAACCCTTAAAGGACCTCAAGGACCCATAAAATTACCAACTTTATGGAATCCCACCATTCCAACTTTCTCAAACATGAAGATAAAGGGACAAAAACTTAGATCTAGAAACCTAAAACAATAAAGTTTGGATCTTGAACACTTACATAGGTCCAAAGATGCCCAAATGAAGTCCAAAGCTTGCCAAGATGCACCCAACACTACCAAATCCTTCTTCTTTCTTCAAAAGCAACCAAAAGCACCAAGATGAGCTAAAAAAATGGAGAAGAGGGTATTAGGGTTTGCCTCAAGGTTATAGAGGGTGATAGTGGCTGGAAATGATGCCCTAAATATGTCGTGACCATACCCTTGTCACATTGTGAGAGCCATCCTAAAACACATTCTCATATCTGATATGTCACGTCGTGACAACCTTCTTGTCACACTGTGACATATGGTTTTTCTAAAAAATCATACCGTTGACTCCTTAATGCCATACACTGATCCATTAAAGGAGACAGTGTCACATAAATAACTTCTGCAAGTAACAACTACATACCAAAACAACAATTACATAAGCATAAGCTCATTTTCATAGTCAATCTAAACATTCCCAAATGTTTTATATCTTCATAACCACTATTGTCAACATGAAAAAAATAAGAACTAACAACCCTACAATTTTCTATCAATGTCTTCATCTGTCCATACTCTGTATGAGATAGGTCGTTATTAATATGACCATCTTCTTCATTTTACCATTTGAAAAAAACAAAAGTCCTCTCCTTCTACATAGGAAAAACATAGTTGGGATAAATTACATACATTTTATCAGGTTTTCTGAAGAAATTTAAAAATTAGGGCACCCGTAAATTTTTTCCCATAGTTCTTAGGTGTTTCTCAAGAATCCCACCATTCCAACTTTCTCAAACATGAAGATAAAGGGACAAAAACTTAGATCTAGAAACCTAGAACAATAAAGTTTGGATCTTGAACACTTACATAGGTTTAAAGATGCCCAAATGAAGTCCAAAGCTTGCCAAGATGCACCCAACACTACCAAATCCTTCTTTTTTCTTCAAAAGCAACCAAAAGCACCAAGATGAGCTAAAAAATGGAGAAGAGGGTATTAGGGTTTGCCTCAAGGTTATAGAAGGTGATAGTGGCTGGAAATGATGCCCTAAATATGTCGTGACCATACCCTCGTCACATTGTGAGAGCCATCCTAAAACGCATTCTCATATCTGATATGTCACGTCGTGACAACCTTCTTGTCACGCTGTGACATATGGTTTTTCTAAAAAATCATACCGTTGACTCCTTAATGCCATACACTGATCCATTAAAGGAGACAGGTGTTACATAAATAACTTCTGCAAGTAACAACTACATACCAAAACAACAATTACATAAGCATAAGCTCATTTTCATAGTCAATCTAAACATTCCCAAATGTTTTACATCTTCATAACAACTATTGTCAACATGAAAAAAATAAGAACTAACAGCCCTACAATTTTCTATCAATGTCTTCATCTGTCCACACTCTGTATGAGATAGGTCGTTATTAATATGACCATCTTCTTCATTGTACCATTTGAAAAAAACAAAAGTCCTCTCCTTCTACATAGGAAAAACATAGTTGGGATAAATTACATACATTTTATCAGGGTTTCTCAAGAAATTTAAAAAATTAGGGCACCCGTAAATTTTTTCCCATAGTTCTTAGGCGTTCATGCAACATATACCTTAAACAAATCTCCACAACTACATCTAACTACTCTTTTGTTTCTTGATAT